CTATTATACTTTCATTAATATGCCAGTAAATTTAGATTCATCGGAAATTCATTTAGAATTCGACAATGTTTTCAACAGAAGCACAGTAATTATCATTCGAGTTTATTAAAAGTGGGAAAGACGATTATAAGGCGCGTCGCACCGGAAGAAGATAAACAACACACAAACGAATACACCGTCGACGATACACGTCGACGAAATGCGAATTCTACGAATTGCCAGAATGAAATCAAAGCGAAATGTAGATATGAACGAGATTTGAAGAGCGAGTTCTCGCCTGAGCAGGTTTCACAAGTGAGCCACGCCATTGGAAGGACGTTTATGGAGCGCTTGAAATAGCGGTTGATAAATACCGAATGTGTACGCCGCTCCTATTACTATATATTCCAAGCGACACACTGTTGTATTCCAACGTACGCGCGAACGGGAAACACTTCTGTATTTCGTATTTGATACGAGCCGAGATTTGTTCGTCGTTAACGCGACTCTAGAATCGTTTAGCCATTTTACTACTACTATCGTTTACAGTTTTATCTTTCGTATCTGACGCTTAGATCTCGTTGAATAAGTGAACGAGTGTTTACTACCGATACGCGTTCGGCACGTTATTAACACGGTGGTCCGACGGGGAAATGTTTGGTCGTTCGACAAATTAATTCATCGCTCGCCGCACTCTCAAAGCCGGCCGAGTGCTTTCAATATTTAAAAACCAGTGCTAGTGCGCGTCTATGAAGTTTCCGTTTACGATAGCCGGATCTATGCTACGTAATCTTTTGAAACAATTCCTGTGTCGACGGTGCAATGAGTTCAACGCGGCTGGATGTTTCTTAACGAACCAGGAGTAGTTCGGATTTAATGGCATAAACCCTTGGCTCGATTTTAGGTATGTACTAACAATTTCGATATTTAGCTGTACATCGAATTTGCGAAATAATCGTCGAAACTCGCTGATATCTACCGTTTCAATCGAACGTAAGGTTATATCCTCGGCGGTGGAATAAAAATATTCCAGCGGCACAGCGGAATCTTAAAGTGTACAGTTTCCTACGAACTATCGAAACTAGTCATAAATGTACGATGAAAATGCGGTCCTTGACCTCTTTCTCGCTCGGCTACGTTGTTTCGATGCCTTTTTTAGGTTAGGAATTGTGTTCATTATCCTCCTGTGAAAGCGATGACAATATTGCTTTAGATTCACTATTTTCAGGCTCCATTTTATTAGACATCCCTATTATGCGTGTACATATCAATGACTCTTTCAAGCTATTTCGATATCGAATCGTTAGCTGTTTATTGATATGTAAATGGAGTTCTAAGAAGTTCTGACATCAGTCAACAGGAAGGAGGAAACCGCCTCTTTCATTGTTTTCTATAAACACATCCGATCTCCAGTTTACTTGTTTTAACCCAGTATAGTTATAAGAACTTAAATTAAGATTGTACGAACCCTTACATAAAAACAATGACAAAGTATTAAAGTTTTAATAGTTATTACATCAATAAANTCCTAATTGTCTTCAACTTTTGACAAAGATCCACTTTCATATTTTTCTTAATCGTACTATAAACATTTATAAGGAAAACTACTTTTCAAATATGCAGTTCTGTGAATTAGAGCTTGCCGACACGAATACCTGAGATAACTGACACGAATAACTTGAAATTCTATTACCATTTTCCTCTCACAACTCAAACATCTTTAATAAAATCGAGAACGTTCATTAGACGCACGGATTTATATTTATTTAATAATAACTCGTGTCGTTTCAATTAAAAATTCAATGATTGAGGGTCAGCTTCACGAAAAAGTGGTTTTGTGGCCACTGATTACATTATGAATATTTAAACCGTTCACCGTTCCTAACAGCAAATGTATACTAATCTACTATACTAAATACTAATTGGACGGTATAATCGCATATTGTGCCTTTCTATTTCGGTCGCGTTATCTTTGTGTTTTCGTTTTGCCATGATACACAAGGTCTTTGACTTACAGAGTAACGAACCTTGGATCTGTATGAATACATTTTGCCTGTTCATCTGGATGCACGAGCGCAGCCAGTGAAATACTTTCTGAATGAATGTAGTAAGCGTATAGCGGCACTCTTTCTGTCGGAGGAGGCATCGTTAACTGTACCGGTGCGGTGACACCGCTGCGAGGGTTAATGAACATAAAAGACCCATCATTTCGACTTCCGAGATTGAACACTTGAAATACGTATTTCAAACAACAATTATTCTAAATTAGCAAGTCTGAAAGAATTGTTTGTCGTTTAACTTGCAACGAAGTAGTCTGTAATTTGATGTACTTACTTTTAACTTACAATTAGAAATGTTGATAATTTAAGGACGTTATTATACGATATATTGTGCCCATTCTATCCATGCGAACTTGAAATGTACGGAATGTTTTATAGTATAGGAAAAAGAATGTCGGTGAGTTAGTGATATGAATCAGGTATCTCCGAAGGCATATATCAATATTGGTGAGATCTAATCGCGGCCTGATAACGTATTAAACATGATAAAACGTATTTCAGTACGCCTTCACAATTCTGCGAGCTAAAACAGATCTGAAACTTTTATTAAATATATAGTAATGCAGTGATGTACAATTGAACTATCCTGGCTTACTATTATCATTATAGTGCACGCGACATAATAGATATAACTGTATTTAAATGGTAAATTTACTGTCGTAAAATAAATAAGCTGTCGAAAGGAATACTCAGTTACTTCCGTGAAGTGTTTCGCCATTTGTATGTATTTTTTTCCAGGCGATGTGAAATAACGTAACGATGCCTAGTCCTTTTATTTAACGTACCTTGAACCGACTGCCGAGTTAGCGAAACAATGATTTTTCATATGGACTGACCACTAGGATCCCTCCTGTTTACACGTGCTTTCATTTCTACCGCAGCTGTCGCACACTCCTTTTATCATGACGAGTGTCGTTCCACTCACTGATAAACAACTTCACCAATTGGTAAATGTTCTACTTGACGAATGCATTCAGAATAAAATATGCAGTTTACGTCGGAATAATGTTTAACTTTATGAATTATTCTCAGAGCATCGCTATCGGGAAGGCTGTGAACCCTACAGAAACGCCTGTAAAAGAAAAGCATGTGCGAAGTATCCTTTTTCATCCAAGTTTTCATCCATGTTCATCAGCAATTATTATGTAATGAGTTTGTTTAGAAATGCGATATGCACCTTATGAAAGAATGTAGGCGCTATTATAGGAACGCACCAGGAAAGGGGTGGCATGATCTTTTGGTTGTACATGCTACGGCAGCCGCTGCAGGAGAACCAATTCGTTGCCTGGAAATTTTGTCACGTTTTGCATAAAGTGTTAAGAGAAGGCCACGAGAAAGTGATCAGAGATTCTCAGCGTTACCGTGGGAAATTGGAAGACCTCGGGAAGTTATGGCAACATTTAAGAGAAGGATACGGACCATTGATCCAATTGTACATGAAATTACTGATTACCAAGTTAGATTTTCACAAGCGAAACCCACGCATACCAGGAAATCTTCAAGTGACGCCGGAAGAATTGAAATCCATCGGGGAGGACGACATTAACGTTTAGTAAGTTACTAATTCAAGGACAAGGTCCCGTGGATTTTATAAATTCTCATTCACTATTTCTTATTTTGTACAGTTTTCAAATGTCAGTCGAAATGTTCGATTACATGGACGATATTTTAAATCTACAACGCGCAGGTATGAATTAAATTCCTATCCGTGGCTGCGATATTCGTATCATTTGACTTTCTAATCTCGATCGTCGAGAAACTAGTTAGCCTGTTTATAAGTATTTACTAGTCTGTTAATAAACACTGCATAAATAGCAACGCTGTGATGCGCGATATCTCTTTAAGGATGTATAGGCTATATACTTAAACAATGCTAGCATGTTGAAT